AGAGAGAGAGAAAGAGAGAGAGAGCACATGAGAGGGGGGAGGGTCAGAGGGAGAAGCAGACTCCCCGCCGAGCAGGGAGCCCGATGTGGGACTCAATCCAGGGACTCCAGGATCATGACCTGAGCTGAAGGCAGTCGCCTAACCAACTGAGCCACCCAGGCGCCCCCAGAGGCTTTTTTCTTTCTGAGCCCCTGGAAGGGCCTGATTCTGCCCCATCTTCCTCCAGGGGCCAGGAGGGCTTTGTCAGAGCTCAGAACCCTACTGTAGCTCGCTTGGCTTCTTCACTTCTTTGGAAGATCTCTGCCATGCCTGCAGGGCTCACTAGGAGCCCAGGGAACAGCTGGGAGGCTCTCTTTATCCCTGGGAAATGTAGCATGGGTACCAAGACTCATTTGCAACTTGCTCTGGAATTACGAGAGGGGTTGGAAGTGGTGTGGGTAAGGGTGAATGTTGGAAGGGGTTCATAAACCGTCTGGTTGGCATGGGAGTGATCTAGGCTTGTCCAGGCGTTACTGGATTGCCTCCATCTAACAGGGCCCACTTCTGTGAGATTGTTTGGGCTTCAGAAATGGCCCTTTCCAGGGCTCTTTGGAGGGTGGGCAAGCAGCGTGGGCCAGTGGTCTAGGGCTGAGCCTCAAGCTGCCATTCTTTTGTGCCCAGGAACCCCTGACTGATGCGGAGAGGATGAAGTGAGTATCTGCTGCCCGAGAGCCTGTCCTGCCTTGCCTCAGCACTTCCCTCTTAGCTCCAGGCAAGGCTGTTGGTACCGCTGGGGCTTTTCATTGGATTAGGTAGAAGTAAAGGTTGGGTGGGGTGTTTAGGGACTTGATGAGGGTCCCTAAACCTCATGAGGTTTAGGGGAGGAGGAGGCTTGATGGGATATTCCTTCTGGAAAGAGTTTTTGTTCCATGGGCTCCAAGAGAACCTGGGACCGAGGAGGTAGGTGCTCGGAGGGGCCTGCTCTTACCAAGGAGCCCTTCCCCAGCTTCTGGTCCTCCTGTACCAGCTGCCTCCCTGCAGCCCTTTCTGTCAGCCCTGTCAGGCCTTTGGAAAGGAGGTCAGTGCTGGGCTGGGTTTCTAAGAGACTAATCGTGGAGCAGCCTGATTGTGCAGTGGGGAAACTGGAGCTGGAGGGCGTGGTGGCCGGCTGGCTTAGGCTGTAACCAGAGACAGACTGGGGAGTCTTACCCCCCACACCAGTTCTGTCTTCTCATTCTTCTTCGTGGGTGGGGGTGGATTCTACCATCCCCTCTGCTCCCCCCGCCGCAAGCCAGACTCTGTTCTCAGGCCCAGCAGGCGTATGGAATATGCTGCCCCAGACTCGGACTCCTTCTCAGGGAGTCCCTTGCCCTGCCCCCCGTTACCTGTGCTCATGTCATACCTACTCCTTCAAGCTTCTTGAGCCCAGCCTGGGGCTCCAGGGCTGGCCCATCTTAACCCGTATGCCCCTCTGCCCTTCACCCCTCACCCCGCCAGGCTCTTGCAGCAGGAGAATGAGGAGCTCCGTCGGCGCCTGGCATCGGCCACCAGGCGCACCGAGGCCCTGGAGCGTGAGCTGGAGATCGGGCAGGACTGCTTGGAGCTGGAGCTGGGCCAGAGCCGCGAGGAGCTGGACAAGTTTAAGGACAAGTTCCGCAGGTGTGGAAACGAGGGGCCAGGCGTCCGTGCACGCATACACCTCCCCCCCCGCCCCCCCGCCTGCCCTGTTCATAGGAGGTTAGCGGGACGAAGCCTCAGAGATCATCTCTGATTCTGATGGGGAAACCGAAGCTCTGGGAGGAGAATGACCTGCCCCACATCCCATATCAGGGAGGGGCTGAGGAGGGCCTGAAGAGCAAGTCTTGACCCAGGGGTCGGCCTTGTGTTCCTCCACAGGCTTCAGAACAGCTACACGGCCTCTCAGAGGACCAACCAGGAGCTGGAGGACAAGCTGCACACGCTGGTAACCTGCCCGGGCCGGGGTGGGGGAGTTGGGGGGGGCATGGGGGCACTTTGGCTGGCACTGTGCCCACAGCATAGCAGGGGGCTGGGACTTGCCCGGGGAGTGCCACTGTGCCCTGGGGCTTGGGGAGGGGGCGGGACAGTGGCAGGCAGGGGACCACAGCGTGTGCTGTGCGAGGCGGGACTGTCTCAGTGCTCACGCTGTTTCTCTTCTCTCCCGTCTTCCCCTCACGCCGCTGCCGCCGCCGCTGCCCTCTCCTGTCAGGCCTCTCTTAGCCACAGCTGGATCTTTGCAGTTGCGTCTGAGTTTGTGTGTTTTCTTCCTTGCCCTGGCCTCCCCCTCAGCTGAGATCTGGGGTTGCTGGGGCCCCGGCCCTTTGCCTCTGCCCCTGCCCCCTGCTTTCCTCCTCCTTACATGAGGCCCGCTCGGTACAGTGCCTCCCTCCTGGGGGACAGCTGCGGAGCTGGCTCTTGGCTCGGGCAGAGGTACTGGTTGATGTCACCACTGAACACTCACGGCTTCTTGGCTGTGGTGGCAACAAGCCCAAGCCATTTGGCTGGGGGGGGTGGCGCGGGGAAGGGGCGCCAGTCCCTGAACTGAAGATCAGAGGGCTGCTGCTGAGCCTGCTGCTCCCTCCTGGCTCAACTAGATAATCTCACAGGCGCCCCCAGCTGCCACCCAGCCCCACCCTTCCTCCCTCTTCCTAGCCTGAGCCTGGAAAGTGCTCCACACGCAGGCTTTGGCCCCTGGGTTTGCACACTTACTCCTTCTCAGGTCCGGCTGCCTGACCTGCTGTGTAGAGCCCCTTGATGGACAGCTCTCGTACGGCCTCTGTCCTGGGCCCTGGTGGCAGCAGGTCTTGTTCAGAAAGCCCCCACCCCGAGCCAGCCCGGAGAACAGGAGAGGTGGCTGGTCTCCTTCTGTCTGTCCATTGTCTGTCTATTCCGTCCGCCTTGGCTGCCCCAGCACCTGTGGCTTCCTGTGTCTCTGGGCTGGGAGGAGGCGAAGGGGAGGAAGGCCGGCTGGGGCAGGGGCGAGGTTCACATGAGTTTTGTGCCTCAGATCAAGAAGGCTGAGATGGATAGGAAGACGCTGGACTGGGAGATCGTGGAGCTGACCAATAAGCTGCTGGACGCCAAGAACACCATCAACAAGCTGGAGGAACTCAACGTACGTGCTCCATGGGGGCCCTCCCGCCTGCGGCTGCCTTGGCCCTGCCGCAGCCCCGCTGTCTGGAGCGCGGCTGGCCAGTGATGCCCTCCTGTATCTGCAGGAGCGGTACCGGCTGGACTGTAACCTGGCTGTGCAGCTCCTCAAGTGCAACAAGTCCCACTTCCGCAACCACAAGTTCGCCGATGTGAGCGGAACACCCTCCCCGCCGACGCAAGCCCCGCCCCCTTAGGACTTCTCTCGCTCGGGGTTTGATACCTCACTCTGTCCTGCCTCGACTCCCCCTTTCTGCTTTGCCTTCCCCTCGCCTGCATGTCTCCTCTCAAGTCAGTCAGCTCTGCCACTGGTCAGTGTTCGTGTGCCGTCGGGACCATCGCTAGGGTGGGGGCTGGCCCGGCTGGTATTTCTGGAACAGAGGGAGAGAGGCGCCCCATTTCGGGATCCCGTGCGGGCAGGTGGGGGTGGCCATCGGCTGTAAGCATATTGAGAGGGGATTAGGCCCAACTGACCGCCTTCCCCCAGGAGGCGAACTCTGAAGAGTCCAGAGCCTCGGGCCCGAGGCTGATTGGGGTCTGTAGAAGGAGCAGAGGCTCTCCCGAGGCCGCTGGCCAGTACGGGTCCTCAGACTTATGTCTGGTTTGGGCAGAAGCCGCAGCTGAGATGGGGGGAGGGGGCGTTTGAGAGCGCGTGGGCCTTGGCGCTCTGGGATCAGATGCTGGGTGCGTTCCTCAGACTCTTCAAGTCCGTTTGGCCCCTGCTGAGCATCAGAGGGTCTGTGAAATGAGGCCGTTCTCCCGGCCTGGTGTGAGGCCTGCGTGGTGCTGCTCGGGCGGGCGCGGGGGCCGTTGTTTCTGTTCTGAGGCCGGGAACCTTCATGTCTCTCTTCCCTTCTCCCGCTCTTTTGCCCCAGCTGCCCTGTGAGCTACAGGACATGGTCCGGAAACACCTGCACACTGGTCAAGAAGCTGCCGGCCCGGGCCCCGCCCCTAGCCTGGCCCCGGGGGCTGTGGTACCCACGTCGGTCATTGCCCGAGTGTTAGAGAAGCCAGAGTCTCTGCTGCTCAATTCGGCGCAGTCGGGCAGTGCTGGGCGCCCCTTGGCTGAGGATGTCTTTGTGCACGTGGACATGAGTGGGGGTGGCCCGGGTGACCCAGCCAGTCCCCCGGCCCCTGGCAGCCCCCCCCCGCAACCCAATGGAGAATGCCGCTCTCTGGGCACTGCTGGGGCCTCCCCAGAGGAGGAGGTGCCCCTGCCAGCCTTCGAGAAGCTGAGCCCCTACCCCACCCCATCTCCACCACACCCGCTGTATCCTGGCCGCAAGGTAATAGAGTTCTCTGAGGATAAGGTGCGAATCCCCCGCAACAGCCCTCTGCCCAACTGCACTTATGCTACCCGCCAGGCCATTTCCTTGAGCCTGGTGGAGGAGGGCGGGGAGCGGGCCCGCCCCAGCCCAGTACCCAGCAGCCCCGCCTCGGCCCAGGCCTCGCCCCACCACGAGCCCAGCCCCCTCCCCCCAGCCCGCAGCGCCCCAGCCAGCTCTGCCAGCTCGGAGGAGGACCTGCTCGCCAGCTGGCAGCGGGCATTTGTGGACCGCACCCCACCCCCAGCTGCTGTGGCCCAGCGCACAGCCTTTGGACGTGATGCACTCCCTGACCTGCAGCGCCATTTTGCTCTGAGCCCCACTGACAGAGATGAGGTTCTGGCGCCTTCTTCCCCACCTGGTGAGAGTGGGCTCTTGCTGCCCATGGAAGCTGACTTTGGCCCTCCCAGGGAGGAAGAGGAAGAGCTGAACCTGCCCATCAGCCCTGAGGAAGAACGCCAGAGTCTGCTGCCCAGTGACAGTGGCACAGAGGAGGGGCCCGTCACTTCCCACACTGAGGGCAGGGCCTGGGCCCTCCCCAGCTCCAGCCGCCCCCAGCGCAGCCCCAAGAGGATGGGGGTGCACCACCTGCACCGCAAGGACAGCCTGACCCAGGCCCAGGAGCAGGGCAACCTGCTCAACTAGGGCCTCCGCCTGCCTTCCTGCCCCCGCTGCCCTGGGACCGGCCCCCCGGAGCCCTCCTCCCTCAGGCCGGCTCGGCTCTGCTCCTTGTGCGGGGCGGGGGCAGGGCCCGCCACACCGGGCCCTGTAGCTGCGTTGACTATGACTGGCACCAGCTTGCCTCGTAGCTTTTCCCTTTTTTCTTGGAATATGTACTCCCCAAAGGTAACATGCAGCTGGGGCTCAAGACCCTTCTTCTGGTCAGCCCAAATTGGGCTGTTCTGGGGCGCTGAAGGGTCTGTTACATCAGTGTTCATCCTCCATCTCCCTTTCATACCCACAAATTGTTTTCTTGTTTGTTTTCTGGGGGTGGGAGGGCGACGTCGTTGGGATTATTAACCTCTAATTTCTGTTTTCTGCCTGCTTTCCACCTCTCAAGTCCTCTGCGCGAGCTGTTGCCTTCAAGGGGCCCTTGGGGGATGAGAGAGGGGACTCACTCAGGGCTTGCCTCCGCTGTGTCCATCCTCCCTCTGGAAGGGAGGAGAGGGAGGGATTCAGGGGCCTCAAGCTGGGCTCTAGGTGAGGCCTGGCCCCCTCCCAACCTTGGCTCTAGACTGTTACTCCCAGCCTTGGGAAGTTTTCACATCGATGACTATTTTAAAATTAAAATTATTTTACTGATACGGCCTAATTTGTCTATTAATGATTTTCCTTGTGCCATTCTCCTCCCCATTCTTGAGCATTCCCAGTCCTAGCCAAGTTCTGCTCTTCACTGGTGAGTCCTCCCTGCCACGCTCTGCCTGGGGTGTATGTGGCCGCAGTGGGAGAAGGTGTACCTCAAGTAACCTCGGCAGGGCCCCTGAGTCTCTCCTCGAGGTGGGGTCCAGTCCGACCTCTGGAGGTGAGCTCTTTACCTTAGTTATGATCCTTCTGGGGGTCTATATATAAGGTGTCACCCCAGAATCCCAGGTCCTACAAGTCAGACCTGAGCCAGACCTGTTTGGCATTTGGGGCCCCGGGGATGCTGCCTGGAGCTTGAGCTGTGGAGTGGCACTGCCCCCTAGCGTCTAATAGTTCCAATTCTTCCCCTGCTGCCCGCCCCCCAGGGACCACAGCCACACGCCAGGTTGTTCAGAAAATCTCTTCCGAGCCAGCGGGTTGCAGCCAGAGCGGCTGACAAGTCCAGAGACGTTGCCTTGGGTTCGAGTGCACCCGAGGCTGTTGCTTAGTCAGCTTCCAGAGCTTCCCATCACTGCCGGGAGCTACCAGAGCCCCCGGCACCCCCACCTCCCTCCCAGGCCCCCAGGGCCTGACCCTGATATCCGGGGCAAGGTGCTGGGGACAGAGACAACACAGAATGATGTGCAGAAGCCCAAGTGGAGAGTCACATCTCGGTCTCGGCCAACAGACTGTCGCCTAGTCCTGAAGTCATGAGTACCATCTGAGAGCTGGGTTCTGTGGAAGGGCAGAGGGCCGTTCAGACCACCAACCACTCCTCCACCAGGGACACAGGTGGGAGGCGGCTCGGCTTTCGCAAACGCACCCTCCCTGGTCCCAAGCCTCTTCCGGACCTGGCTCTGCTCGACCCTGGGGGGCTCTTACCACCGGGGCACACCCAGGACGGCTGGGCAGCAGGCCCCCGCCCTCTGTCAGGTTGCTGCGCGTCGCCGGCCCCTCCCGCCAACTCCTCCTCCTCCTCTCCCTCAGAGAGCAGATCACAGATCTGTTGCTGCAGCTCCGGGCTAATGCTGTTCTCGGCCAGCACCAGGCTCCGCAAGGCCGTGGGGTAATTTTCTACCATGTCCAGCAGGGTCTGAGGTGGGGAAGAGGGCGCAAAAGGACGAACACAGTTAAGGCTGCAAGCCGCCAGCCCGTCGGTGTGTCCGCAGACACATGGGCTCACCTGCACCCCCACCTCTAGCCCCTCTTCCGCCCCCCAAGCATGAAGACGTCTCACCTGAGCTGACTGGTTGGTAAGCCCCGTGCCCTCCAAGTCTAGGACCTCTAAGGTGCGGCTGGAGGCCACAGCTACAGCCAGCATCCCTGCCACGTGGTCACCTGGGGAGGCGGCACACATGCGCACGGTCGTGAGCGGGCCTGCTCACCTTTCCTCTCCGCGGCCTCCCCCATGCCCTAAGGACCCTAATGTCAGCTAACGCTGACATTTGGTACGTGGCCGAGGGGCGGGGCACCGTGACTGGGGAGTGAACGGGTGAAGCAAGCCAGGCCCAGGGGTGGTGATGGGATACTTTCATGTACCTGGTGGCCACCTGGTCCTCCACACAAGTGGCTTCTCCACTCCCTCCCACATCCCTCCTCCTTTCTCCCTCCCCCAGTGGGAGGGGGGTTACCATGGCAAACAATGGTCCCAAGTTCTTGGATGGGGGTGGGATGGTGAGACTCGCAGGGGGCTTCCTTGAGTCTCACCCAGGGGGTTGTAGTCCAGATTGAGGACGCGGACCTGGGAGCTGTGGGCCACCGCAATCGCGAGGCGGCTCCAGCCCTTAGGGGTGATGCCAGGGTTGGCACTCAGCGTCAGCTCCTTCAAGCCTGGGCGGCATCAAAGTGAGAAGTCAGGATGGAGGTCAGGCCCTCTTCAAGCCCCTCCCCTGCCCTGGATCTCTGGGGTGTCCCTGGTGGCTGAGTGCCACCCTACCCCGCCACAGAGCTCCTGGGCCATGAGAGACCCCTGCCTTCCCCTGCCCACCGCAGGCTGGATGCCTGAGTCTCCATTCTGCTCAGCCCCCAATCCTTCTGATAAACATTCTCACCCACAGTCAGAGCCCTCAGCTCCGGGTCACACCCCCTGCCCTCTGCACCTAGCTTTTTATCAAGGCCACACCAGCCCGTGTCCTCAGCAGGGCCTCTTGCTCACCTGACTTGGCTCCATCTGGGGGGAGGAGGCCACAGATGAGGTTGATGGCTTCATCACCCAGCATGCAGTCCCCCAGGTCCAGAGCCACAAGGGCAGGGTGGAGGGCCAGCGCCGGGTTCAGCAAGGCCAGCCCCGCATCCGTCAGGGGGCTCCCATGCAGGCTGGTGGGTGAGACAGGAGAGCAGAGGTTACTGCAGTCATCAGCCCTACCTGTAGGGGATGCAGCCCCTTCCCTTATGTGAGCCCTAGAGGTGAGGAGATCACTTGTCACAGCACTTGGGAGAAGCCTTGGGGAGAAAGAAAATTCTAGATTCCAAAAACACAAGTAGAAGGGGAATTTGGTTTCTTTTCTGGGGCAGGGATTGGCATCCAGGACAGAGCAAAGAAAAGGGGTGTGTGGCTGGTGGATTGGGAGTCTTCAGTGGGCAGAATGCAGGGGCAGGGGTCTAGTCCCCAGGGGAGTTCCTGCTTGAGACCGGGGGGGGGGGGGGGGGGAAGCTTGCCCCCAAGAAGTCAATGCCGGTGATTAGGTGGGGAGGTACAGGTGCCCTGCCGGAAAGGGGTGGGTACCCCATCTCATTTGGGGTGGGGCCACTTGTGCAAAGTCCAGAGGTAAGGGTGTCAAGGAGGCATGGGTAGAGGGAGGAGGCGGTGTCCAGGGGTGAGAAGACAGGCTGGTGCGGAGACAGCTACAGGAAGGTAGGTGTGCGGAGGAACAGGCGGTGGCGGCGGGCGCGTGAAGAGGACTGCAGTGCCCGGGACCCCCTTGCGAAGGAGCGCACTCACAAGAGGGACTGGATGGAGCGGTTGGTCCGCAGCGCCTCCGCCAGCTGCTTGATGCGGCCGGGACTGGACACGACGCCTAGGTTAAGGTTGAGCTGCGCCAGGGACGTGGCCCCGGCCAGGGCCCGGCAGATGCGGCCGAAGTCGCGGTCGCAGAGGCGGCAGCCACGCAGTGAGAGCAGGCGCACGGCGTTGTCGCGCAGGCCGCGGCAGATGTCCCGCACCTCGGCGCCGGACAGCGGCTCCCCCGAAATCTGGATGGAGCTGGGCAGCATCGTACCCACGGCTGGGCCTCCGGGGCCGGGGCGCGGGCCGCGGCCGAGGTTGGCGGGGCCGAGGGCGGGGTCGGGGCTGGGGCCGGGGCCTGGGCAGGGGTCGCGGACGGAGCGGGGGCAGAGGCGGTGGCAGAGGCGCGGGCGGCTGCGGCCGCGGCGGGGGTGGAGGCGGCGGGGGCGGGGGCGGCGAAGAGCGTCGGGGCCCTGGCCCGAGCCGGCGGCGGTTGCGGAGGCGCCGAGGTCGCCGGCCGGGCTGAGACCGCGCGGCGCTGGGGCCGGGGCGGACCGTCCCGTCCGTGTCTGGGCGGCGGTCCGGGGCGCGCGGTCCGGGGCCAGGCGGGCGCTGTTTCCGCGCTTGTTCTCGTTCCTCGCGGTCGGGGCGGCGGCTGCGGGGCCTCGGCTCAGGACATGCGGGACCGGTCTCGGCTCGGAAGCCGCATCTGCTCCCTCCCCTTCTCCAGCCCGGCTCCCCTACCTCCCCGCAGGGAGAGCCCGAAACGGGCGGGCGGGCAGCAGGGCAGCCGGCGGCGGGCGGCAGCTCCGGCTCCGGCTCCGGCTCCTGCGCCTGAGCGGGCGCCGGGTTCCCATGGCAACGGCCGCGTCACCGCCGCTCGCCCCGCCCCCTGCCCGGCCTAGGCCACGCGGCGCGGGGGTCTGCGCACACCCGGCGTTCAGGAGCGGTGGGGGCCGCTCTTCCCCTGGGCGTGGGCCCAGACGGTACTCGGAAAGTAGGTGGTGGGCAGAGGCCTGGGACGAGCAGGGGGTGTGGCGGGGAGAATGGAGGCACGTCACGCGGAGATGGCATTTGAGACTGTTCCCGGCTGCTTCGGCCCATTCTCCCGTCGTTCCCTCTAAGGGCCAGACCCTCGCTGTCTTCGCCCGCGTCCCGCGCACGGCCTCCCGTCCGGTTTGGAGCCCAGTGATCCGGGCCGCGGCGCGTGCGCGCGCGGGACGTGGGGGGAGGTCCAGCCCAGGAGGACGTCCCCGCGTGCCCCTCGCCAAGATGGCGGCCCCGCAGCGGAGGTCCCAGGGGCCACGGGCCGGAAGAAGCCCGAAGCGTTCCTGGGGCAGGTGAGCCGCAAGTAGGTGCAGGGTGCTGGTGCCACCCCTTCCCCAGGTGCCGGCGGCAGA